AACAAGATTTGTGTTGTTTTGATTGATCCATTATGCCCTTATGCCTAACTTTCTAAGTCATGGAATGGTTGACTTGATATCTTCATTGTAGGTTATGAAAACTCTAGTGCAGTTTGGAGCTACAAAACAGATATTGATTGATGGAAAACCTCACTTAGGAACAGATAGGTTGATTCCATTACTTCGCAACTTCAGGCAACATCTGCAAGATTTGGGTGTGAGTTTCATTAACTTGTTTGCATTAAAAACAAATTAGTGTCGGTGTAATTTTCTATCTTGCTTAGTTATTTTCCTTTTTGTCTTCAGACTATCCAATTAACAGTGCTGCTTCTTTCTTTTGCAGGTAACCATAAAGTTTGGAACACGAGTAGATGATCTACATATAGAAGATGGACATGTCCTCGGGGTTATGGTATCAGAATCAGCTGATGAATTGCGTTTAAGAAGCCAAAAATTGGAATGTGATGCAGTTATTCTGGCGGTTGGTCATTCTGCCCGTGATGTATATCAAATGCTTCTTACTCACAATGTGGAATTACTACCCAAAGATTTTGCTGTGAGTTTACTTCTACATAATCTTTTAATCTTAATTTCAATTTATGGAAATTGTGATACTTGTCTGTTGCCTTTCCTCGTGTGAGCTTTGTCTATCTGGTGTGATATATATATATATATATATATATATATATATATATATATATATATATATATATATATATATATATATATATATATATATATATATATATATATATATATATATATATATATATATATATATATATATATATATATATATATATATATATATATATATATATATATATATATATATATATATATATATATATATATATATATATATATATATATATATATATATATATATATATAAATATATATATATATATGTTATCAAATATCTGCCATGGTAGCATTATGGCGGATATACATGGCGGTTTTTGGGCTCACCGCAATGGTAAATAGATCGATATTGCCGATTTTTCCGCCATAATCCGCTATAACGGTGCCTCAAAGCAGCCAGTATGGCAGGATTTTGGTTGTCCTCCATGAACCACCACCCACCATCGACAACACTGCTCACCATGATGGCCCCACTCCACTCAAATGACTACCTAATTATCTCTTTCAGTCCCTCTTATGTATAGCCGACATACCATATTTTTTCTATCTCGAGATTAACTTAATAACTAAATAATCACCTTTTACTCCCTCAACTAATAAAGTATTAATAATTAATAACCCCCCTAAAATTTTACCTTGTCCTCTCCTCACTGTGAATAGTTTGCAGTTGCTGAGAAAAAATTTCACATTGGGGGACCTATTCCATGAGACATGAATCAAGATTCCCATAGTGTGGACAAGGGGCATGGGTGTCGTGGGGTTTGTTTTTGTTGATAAAAAGAAAATTGAGTGAATCTAAGCTTCACTTGAGGGACTCACCCTTCGGTTGAGGGACTCGCCTCCAAACCTTATCTAGGCGACTAGCTTTTTAATTCTCTTCCGAAATAGATCGTCATCTACTTGGTTTAAATCACTTCGCCCTTCACAGGCCTAGTGCTTGAGCGACTATGGACTGGGATAATTTTAATTGGCCCCAGAAGAGGACTGTCCATAACTCAACCAGCCCAAACAACATCGTAAAGGGCCGCAGACAATTCAGGCGAGCGTGACCTGGCGGGTCATTGGCCGACCGATCCGACCCACCACGCCTAAGGCATGGGTCACCCGGCCCTCATCTGTGTCCATCAAGGGACAACTTCTTTAATACATGCTAGGCCACGTGTCCCTGAAAGGGCCGATGTTTGCCACTTTCCCAAGGAAGAAACTGCTTCTTCTTACTAATGGGGAGAACTGGTCTTCCTGTTCCCACGCACTAGTCAAGCAATTGGGAGGAAACTGGTTCCTCATCCATTAATTTGGCCCACGAGCTAGGCCTATAAATATCCTAACCCTTATGGTTGGAAGGGATCATTCATTATTCACATATTCAACATACCTAGGCTCTCTTGCATTCTCTCACAAAAGAGGGCTCATCATCTTATTGTATTTCTCACAAGTACAATGGTGCACCTTGTAAGTCCGATTTGTGTATTTTAACATTTAGAGGAAACAAATGATAATGTGATGTTTGCTTTTACATTTGTTCATGTCATGATTTTCTATTTCTTCCTTTTTTAATCCCCCCTTTTATATATTGTAAACAGGTAGGGCTACGAATTGAGCATCCTCAGGAGCTAATAAACAGAATACAGGTTTGTATATATTCAAAAAAAAAAAAAAAACTGCACCCTTGTGTTTTCATAAATATATACCTAAGGCTATTGCTTCTTGTCCACTCAATCAATTATTATATAATTAGGATGCTATATAGATTATAAAGAGAAAGTGAGCCTAGAGGGGAGCTATCTAGACACTGTTCTTCTAGTTGTGTTTGCATTTGAGGATATATTTCCCTCTCTTTTTTAATGACAAAATACCATATTACTATTGTCCTTAAAAAATTAATATCCCCAAGTTAGCCCCTGAAAAATTAAAATGTCACCTTATTAGTCCCCCAAAGTTATACTACCAAATTAATCCTTTAAAGCACTATCTAAGCTTTGTATGTTACAAAATGTATTGTATCCTTTAACAGATTCTCCTCATAGGATAATGTGAAAATCCTAATAAACGTGGCGTCTGACATTATTGTATTCCCTTTACCACCTATGCCTATTTTGTTGACATCTATTTGTGTGTTAGAATAAACAAGGAAGTATATGATCCTATTCAATTTCTGACATTCTTTTGTTTATCAGAGACTTATTTATTTGTGATGATTATGATGCATGCAAATTTAAATGTGTAGTATGCTGAACTGGCATCTGAAGTTTGTCGTGGACGTGGTAAAGTTCCAGTGGCAGATTACAAAGTTGCCAATTATATTGACAAAAATGATTTCAATGAATCATCTAATTCAAAGGTGGAAAATCGTAGTTGCTACTCCTTTTGCATGTGTCCAGGTGGGCAGGTAAGCATTCTCCGTTTACCTGCATATTTAGATTAATTGGAACCTAACCTCTTTGCAGTGCTGGTTCCATGAACATACTGCGCTGATTGATTTAAAGTGTCACCTTTAAAGATTCTTTGTTTTAATTTCCCTAAGTGATCAACTGGTAGTGATGTATGGAATATTGGAACTTATAGGTTGTTCTCACAAGTACAAATCCATCTGAAATATGCATCAATGGCATGTCATTTTCCCGGCGAGCATCTAAGTGGGCAAATGCTGCACTTGTTGTGTCAGTTACACAGAATGATTTTAAAGCTTTAAATTATTTTGGTCCGCTTGCTGGTGTTGAATTTCAGGTTGGTCTGAATTCTTGTCATGTTTGTTGTGTTCATATGCTTTGAATTTAACATTTGCCACTAAATGTCTTTTTATTTTATTCCCATTTTCATCTTTATATTTATCAAAAGCAAACTGTGAAGTAAAAATGTGGATGACTTCATTGTTCAGTTTTTCTATAATATATTTAACTATTTAATTATTAAGCAGAAGAATACATATAAGTTCATACTCTGCTAATAATCATAAGTGATTTGGAAATGGACCAGTATTGCATCTTATGAAACTTTGTTGAACAACATTGTCAATTGTTCCTGATGGCCATATATCACAGTCCTTTATTTTATAAATTTGACATTGCCTGTTTTGGCTAATACTACTACTATTATTTAGAGAGAGTTTGAACGAAGTGCTGCTATAATAGGAGGAGGAAATTTCGTTGTGCCTGTCCAGACAGTTCCAGACTTTCTTGAGAATAAGTTGTCAGGTAAAACTATGGACAATTACTTACCATAATACCATTTATATGTTACTCTAAGGCTCTGGCTGTAGATGAACTTAGCTTAACTAGTTTGTGCCAGTTACATCTGTTCCGCCGTCAAGTTATCGTTTGGGTGTGAAGGCATCAAATCTTCATCAGCTATTTCCAACAAACATAACTGAAGCTTTGAAGCATTCACTTGTAATGTTTGAGAAGGAGGTTTGCAGTTTCCATGTCCTACAAATTAGTATACCAGTCTCAAAATTTTCCATCAAAGTTGATCTAAAAATTTCCTCTTAACTTTTCAGTTACCAGGGTTTATCTGCAACGAAGCTCTCCTTCATGGTGTAGAGGTAATTAAAAATAATCTATTTTTCAATTTGGTCTACTATCAATAATCCCTCATTGTGTACATTTCACTAAAATTCCTTATAGTATTCCCCTGCTCATGATTCAGTCTGTAATTGTATTATCGTGATTACCGTGACTTTGCTTCTCAACCATTGTTCCTTTTCCCTAAGTAATGTTTTGTTCCAGACTAGGACCAGTTCTCCAATCCAAATTCCTCGCGATATTGAGTCTTATGAAAGCACTTCAGTAAAGGGACTATATCCAGTTGGTGAAGGAGCAGGTTATGCTGGTGGTATCATCAGTGCCGCGGTAGATGGAATGCATGCTGGTTTCGCTGTGGCAAAAAAATTCAACTTATTTCATGGAGATGTTAAGTCTGTTCTGGGCAAGGCTCATAATGCTGGACTCGTGAAGTACTAATTGAAACCAATTTTCTTAAGATGTCTATAAGCACAAAAGACAGTAGATAGTAGAAAAGAGATTTTGTGTCCTAGTTACACCCCAGAATGAGGTAATGCTATGATTCTACTCTTATTCTTCTGTTGTCAAACTACAAATTTGTCAGCTTCAGCGTTTCATGGAAGCGGCACTGATGCTAATTGGTATCTCTGTTGATATTGTGCAGCTAACAATGTTGTCCTCCAGACAGATTCGCCGAGACAGGAATTAACACTTTCAAACTTCATTCCTGTTGCTGCCTTTTCCCCAATGATTGTAGAATAGCGTACCTGATGCTTGCATACTTTTTGAAGTTGAAGCAAGGACCTTACTGAATGTGGTAACTACAATTTTGGATGACGATCAGCTTAACAAAACATGTTTATAGCTACTTTAATTATCTGGAAACAGAAATTAGTAGTTGCTAAAATGCATTTGGCACGGTGGAACACCAAGTGTCAGTTGCATTGTCATGTTTTCAGTAATTTAGCAGACATTTTTTTGGTTGAAAAAGATGCTTCGAACTCTTGTGTTCGTTATTTAGTTCATTATTTACAACAGTTTTACACGAGACATGTACAATATCTTCCTTTAATGAACTTTCAATAATCTAATTAAGAACTGCAGCTCGATGCCTTAATTATCATATTCAGATGTTTGGTCCCATCCTGTAAGGGAAGACTTTGATATATGCTGTATAGCATCCTATTTTTATGCCAATTTGATATACAAATGTTGTTATAGTCAGAATAGTCATGATCGAGTGTTGGATCGTAAGATCTTACGTGCTAAGGATGCATGGGGTGTTACGATAAAAAAAAAAGATCGTTTTTGTCGCTGGTATAGTCAAGATCGAGTTTTTTGAAGCAAGATAAAAAAAAAGTGTGGTCTTTTTTTTCTTTTTCTGTGTGCGCCTATATTATGATTTTGATGTTACCGTGTATGCATGAAACTATCCTTTTTCTCTTCGGTAGGATCTTATGTGCCGTACTAATGATCCGAGTTTTACGATCTTTTAAAAGCCGACTGATTCTACTTAAGATCTCGGGCTTGACTACATTGATTATAGTGCATTTACTTGTATTGAAAAGCCTTGCTAGGATTTGTTTGGTAGCCATTTATTATATCATTAAAAACGAGAAATGCTTACATTGCTAGTCAAATTTGAATTGAGATGATATTCAAATATGCAACAATTTCCCAAGCAAAAACCTTCATGGCTTTATACTATTTACTATTTGCACAAGTGAAATATAAGTACCCTGTACTCCAATAAATATACCAATAACCAGAATTGCTACAATTATGATCAACTCTAACCCAAATCTTCTTGCAGCTTTGTGCATCTTTAAGTAGCATAGACAAGGAAACAACAATGAGATTGCCACACTCAAGAAAGCACCAATAAATGCCATAATGTATCCAAACAATGGAACAAATAGTGCCACAAGTACACTGCTGACAACAACGGTGGTTCTAATGAGAATGCTGATAGGTCTTTTCTTGCAAAGATGCCATTTTTCTTCAATGGCATTGATTATTGGAGTGATTACAATAGCATACTTAGTGAAAGGGTTAATTACTGTTGTATATATTGCTATTTTTGTACTCATTGTATTTGTTGGTAGATTTAATGTGATTTGAGATTTCAAATTATCTCCAAACATCATGTAGCCTAATACTGCTATGGTTCCATATATGACAGTGCTTGCAGCAAAGCAAACCAGCATAACCTGCAATTAGCAAAATATCACTTTCATAAGAAAAATCAAGACAAAGATAAATCCCTTTATGTTTGATTTATTTTCATTACCACAGAACAAAACATACTATAGACAAAAAAAAAGTGATTTCAAGGGCAAAAGTACTTTACCTTAGAAAACTGATTTCTATCCTTCATAGAATTGCATATTGTTGGCATCAATGCGTGAGCACAATAACAAAAAGCAAAAAGGCTCATAGAAGTAGACAAACCCCCCAAATTCACCAACTTTCCTCTTTCATGAAACCCAACACCATCCACTTCACCCACCCACACAATACAACCAATCAAAATACAAGAAGTTACTATCCCTCCAAAAGATATATAAGCCAAAGCTCCTAAACTTCTCAACCAAGTTGTTGGCAATACTATCAAAGCAGTGATTAACACAAAAGCACTTTTACTTCCAATCTTGAATCCAATCATTTTGAAACTCATGTTTGGAAACAACTTGTCCAAATTGTCACCTTCTAGTATAAGAAGCTCCACAAGAATTAAGAAAAGCTCTAGATATAAGAAAGTTGCTATAAAAGCTCTTCCTTTGTAACCAAAAGCAACATGAGCTATATCAACATAGGATTTGATTAGTGGTTGTTGATTCATGCATCTTCCTAGAAGTAAAGCTGTGTACCAACATATCATGGCGAAAATAATTAAAAGCATGAAACTTATCCATCCTCCTTGAGAAATTGCATATGGCATTGAGAGCATTCCGATACCTGAAAATGTATATTATTATCTCTGTTCGAATTAGGACCGTCTTTAAAAACATGCAAGGTGGTTTACAACACAGATCCTCACACTTTTTATGATTAAGCTATGACAAAACGGATCACTATACAAATTACACGGTTAACTTACAGCTAAATAGATTCATCAGAAACTAACTTTAGCTATTTACACCATACCTCTCAAAAGTTTGAGACGGCTCAAGTTAAAATATTAATATAAGTTTGAAAAAAAAAGAAAGAAAACTACCTGCTAAGGTGTTGAGTCCATTGAAACAAGTTTTGAAGAAAGAGGTTCCTTCTTTGTGCTGACATGAAATTGATGAAACTTGGAGCTGGCTTTCTGTCTCCATTTTCTCGCAAGTAATCAATATGCAAACGCTTGTGGTCTTGTCTATATTGTAGTAGTAACTGGTTATATAGTGTTACGTGCGTGGTATAGATCCCATAAATGATTTTTTTGATGAATAATGAATGTTTCCTTATGCACTTCAATCAAAGCTACGATAATACTCTCCTCGGTAATGAGAAAGTTCATTTTTAAATTCATTCGACCATTAATATATCTAACTCATATATGAATCAGATATATTAATTATTAAATAAATTTAAAAAAATAATTTTTTCTTTTATAATAAGAATAAGGATATGACGTAATAATCCTTTAAATTAAGAGAAAGTGATATAGTAATTTTGACTAAAAAATTATTATCTTTACCTTTATTTTATTTTTATAAAACATTATTTTTTTATCTTTATTAATACTATAATACTCTATTTATCGTTAGAGATAGATAGGTATATCCGTTTCACAAAAATCTGAAAAAAATAGAACGAATATAATTGAGAATGTGAATTTAAAATATTTTGTAAAAAAAATAATAATAAAAACGGATAGAAAAGATTCATAGAGACTTAAAAATATAAAATTTATATTAATACGTATCTGCAAAAGTTCGAAAAAAATAAAAAATGATAAAATTTATATATTAAAGGAAAAAGTTTTTATTTTATTTTTAATATCATACTATTAAAGACTGTAAATAATTGAAAGAGTGGTGACACAATTTTATTTAGTAAATTAAAAAAAAGAAGGTAGAATAATAGTAATGGTGTATTTATTAATGCACGGGAATTCGCATCTCTATAATAGTTTTAGGTTGTTATGTTGTGTTTAAGATGTAAGCAAGCAAAATATACAGAACTTCTTCTCACATGTGTCATTATCACTTTTTTTTCTCTTCATTATATATACGTGCACGATCATGAAGTACCTTTTCATTTTCAGTAGATCCACTTTTTTATGTATATTGTGACATCTAATTACTAATTAGCTAGTATAAATGTGTTTTATTCAGTTTAATAGAACATTAATATTAAAAATAAGGTAAGTGTTCATAAAATATTCCTTTTGTTTTTTTTGAAGAAAATGAAAGTAAATTTTCTTAGTGGCTATTTTACTATAAATTCATATCGAAAGATAATGGAAACCAGCATGAATTCTTTTGTTTAAAGTTTTGCATTAATTTGCATGGCTTCCTTCATCAATGGCTGCAGTAGAAGACAGTGTGTTAGATTGGGGAGCAGATGGATGAGATCAGTGCTATAGTTATTGCGTGGAGCAAATGCACCACCCTAAAGGTGGACAGTGTCAGGATGCCACATGATTTTGTTGTTTTGCAATGTTTCAACTGATTTAAGGTTTTTCATTATTGTGATTTTCCAATATGTTTGTTCAAGTACTCGTACGTATCTACAAACATTCTTTTAAATAAAATTAACGTGATTCGGTAATAATAAGGTTTCAACATATTTCATTTGTGAGCGAGTTTTTGATTTTAGTTGATATATTTTTTATTTTTAAATTATTTTCTCCGTCTCATAACAAGGGTCTTATTTCTATTTTTTTATGTCTCAAAATAAATATTTTTTTAGAATATTAATACAATATTTATTATTATATTTATATTTATTAGTTTATACACTTTTCAACAACTCCACTAACTATAATAAATAAGAGTATTTTAGTAAATAATACTAATTTTATCATTAAAATCAACATATCTAATCATTTTCTTAAGAAAATGCATAACTCAAATAAGACACTTATTATGAGACAGGTGGAGTATTTTTTTAATGTTAAAATTTTATTGGTATTTGTCCTAGAGTAACATCTAAAGCATAGTGTTATCGATGTCAAGTGTCAAAATAGTTGAGATTGTAATTTCTTGTGTCGAAGCAGGTTGTTCGATAGAAACAAGGTGGTGTTGAATTAGCCTAGTGTGTGTGTCGAATTGTGTAGTTGTAGAAATGTCGAAGGAGTGTGCCTCGACAAGATTTTGACTTAGGCCTATTTTTGTAGTTAACAAAATTAGGTATTTTGGACTTTTGTGTTTTTGACTTTGGCTTAGGGAACAAACAAACATAAAACTATAAATAGGGGAAGTACCCCCTATTATTGTAAAAGTGAATAATATTGCAGTTGCAAAGAATATTCACAGTTTGTGAGCAGAGAGAAACTCTGCAAATATTCATCTTCTTCCCCTATTTTGTTCAAACCCTAATTCACCTTTCTTCCATAATTTCTTTCTTCTTCCATTAACAATTGTGCAGCGAGAATCATCTTGCAACCAATGTTGGTTGATTCACTTGAGTGAAGAGTGAAGAACAAGAGGAATTCGATCGAGTTGATTGAATATTGCTCATCAAGATTGATTCGAAATTCTCTAAAGGTTTGGTGTAATTCCAACATCTGGTATCTAGAGCACTGGCTGATCGATTCATGGGAAGAGAAACTCATGAATCATCCGAATGGGCATTTTCTGGAGAGTCTCCCAATTCTAAAGGGTCAGAATTATGAGAATTGGTGTAAACAAATGAAGATTGTATTGTGTTATCAAGATCTTTGAGATCTTGTGAAAGAAGGAGTAACATTACTTGAAGATGATGCGACAGATGAAGAAAAAGCTGCACACAAAGAATTGAAGAAGAAGAATCATTAAGATCTCTTTATAATTCATCAATGCGTTGATCCAGACAATTTTGAAAAGCTGAGTAATGTTGAATCAACTAAAGAAGCATGGGAAATTATGGAAAAATCATTTGGAGACGCATAAAAG